CGTTGAACAAAAGCTCATCTTTCAAACCGGCAGTCTAAATCCCACAGGTATCAACGAACGCTTTTCATTCCACTAATTTATTCGTGTCTTTCTCGTTGCCATGTTCCCACCAATCACGTAGCTCCTTTTTCTGCCTTTAAAAGCACACACAACCCACAATTCCTCTATTCGCTCCGACGAACGGCTAACGCTCGAAACGTCAGCTTTTACAATCGTAATATAACGGTGGCCAATCTACCATTTCAACTTTGTTGATATATTCAAATAATTTCGTTACCCCACCGACGCAGCCCCAAACAGTTTCTTTAGAAACTATCAGCCTTTTTCCGCCAACAAGTCACGCATATGGACGTTACTCATGTAAATACAACATAAAACACGTCACAATTCAATAAACTTTTTGTGGAAAATTACACAGTTATGAAGGTAAATTTCGTAGTCTGATTGGTTAAAATAAATCAGACGATCGACATATGAGGACTCATTTCCTCGGGAAAGTCCCTGTGATATCGCATCATCAACTTCCTGTTTCTGTCAATGACGCTACGGCGATATCACTTTTCTCGGAAACCAATTATCTTTACAAAATGGACGTCTCGTTCCATTGCAAGCCATCAAAATGCAAGTTAACATCAATGCTTGTGCTCGCTTAACGTTTTTGATATTGGCTTTTAACTAGCCCGTAACAGTTGTTTTCCGAGGAGCAAAACTTTTTAACTTGCTCCGGGTAGCTTAAAGATATGGTACACCAGCAAAAAATTTTACAAAAAGAAAGCCATGAGAAGTGCTTTTTAAATAACTTTCACTTCTAAAATATGAACAGCAAGTTTTGTCGTTAAATTCCGAACTTTCCCACTTCTCTTAAGCGCGGTACTGACTAAATGGTAAAATACTCTCTCTTCAAATGAAAAAAAAAATTTTCTCTCAAAGTTTCCACGATGTTCAGATGAAACCTATCAAGATATTTCTGCAAATCAAATAGGTGTCGACAGAGACGCCATTGTGAAATCATTTTAAGATGTCTATCATGATCTGTTGTGGCGTCACGGTAAGAACTGAGAAAATCATAAGTCGGTAATTGGAATGGTAAAATGCTATCCTTTCGAAAAAACACTTTCTCTAAATTAACATTATGCATCGATCACACCTATCGATATTTTTCTGCAAGGAAAAGCTTTGTTCCGATTTAAATAAAACTGAGAAATATCGGGTCAAAATTGGGTTAAGATCAGAATTTTTTGTTTCCCTCGTCCTCCCATTAACTCACTCATCTCGACGACCTAAGTTGCATGGAAAAATTACGCTTGTTGTAACATTTATTTTATATCTTAAACGTTTAGCCATGCTAAACTCATGTGGGTCCTTTTGAAAGATGGACAGAGTCCGAACTGCAATGCAAAGATTATTACGTGCTGTCATCCTAATTGATTTGAATTATTTGCGGCCTTCGCGCTCTGTGGTCACCACCACTTGAGATATCGCTTCTTTGTCTGGAAAGAAAAATTATTTTGTTTTTTCTTTTGAAAACCTTTCTATAAACAGGAAGATACTTTTGGGATAGTCAGTCGCACCCAAACACCTCGAGAACTTCAAGAAACTATTTCTTAGCGTACTAAAGGTAAGCAGATTTTCACTATAGACTACAACCTGAAGGCAAATTAGTCGACATTAATTACCAATACCTTACGAAAATACCCCAAACTATACAGAGTCAAGCCAAACTAACGACAAAAAAATACTTTAATCTACACGGGAACTATGCTTTTACTACGGCATGCTACACCAAAACTCACGAAACTACACAAAACCACCGAAGCAACCCTAGACTGCAACAAAACTACGCCTAACAATACCAGACTACTTCAGACCTGACTACACCAGACCACATCAAACTATCCCAAACTACATCAAACTATTTCAAACTACTCAGTCCAAACTATATCAAACTACATCAAACTACATTAATATAAACGAAAGTATACCAAACTGCATCAAACTACACCCGAATTCAACAGACCAACAGCAAACTATATCAAACTACATACTGAAAATCATCTAAACTTTGAAAAATTGCGACCACACCATCTGAACTTCAGTGTGCGAGGTTAAGATCACCCAGTAAAAAACAACGGCATTAACTACACCAACTGCACAACCTGAAGTTAAAACTAGGCAACAGTAAACCAAAATTTACCAGTTATTGAAATCATCAACCCCACCATAGTTAATAGAGGGGACTAGTTAGGAGACCCGGCGAGCATCAAAGGTGCGGCCTATTGTTTCGTATTTGATGCTGAACTGCACTGTCATGTCACAGCAAGAGTACACCTAACTAGAGTGAGTATATTTGCTCCCAAAATTACACTTCAATCTACATAACTTGGAAGGATCAGGAAACTTGAGAGATAATTTTATATTTTAGCAGTTTGTCGTGCATTTGAAATTAAAGCAAAACCCTAAGGATGGTCTTTCATTTTTGTCTCCAGTATACTATGTAGCGGCTGAGAATAAATGTGTTAGCATGGCAGCAAAAATTTATGAAGCATCGCAGTTTCTCGATCAAAATTTTACTGATAAATAGTTTTTTACCTTTAAAAAGGGTCTCATTCTCAAAATCAGTTGAAATGTAACATATTTTTGTCTCATAAACTC